CACCCCCCTGGGATATACCCTAACCTTTTCCTATAACCCACTCTATTAGCTACTCCCCCCCCACTATGCATCCCACCCCACAGTACGCTCGCTCTAGCTTGCTGTGGGGCTGAGTCTCTCTCCCATATTCTGCTGTGATTCCCTGTGGGGCTGGGTCCTTCTACTACATCCAGCTGTGATCTCCCCCCCCTTCTCCACACTGATTCCCCACGAGGCTGGGTACTTCTCCCCAGTTCAGCTGCGTCTCCCTCTCCCAAGCCCCTGCACTAATTTGCCAAGGGCGGGGCTGGGAGTCAGGCGTTCCTAGCCAGCGGTGACCGGTTTCTTCCCCTCATCCTGCTCCCTGCGGGGCGTCGGTCGGAGCCGGCCGGCCGTGACTCAGTCTGCCTGGCACGTCCTGCCCCTCGGGCCATTTTGCACACACCTGCTTCGTGAACGTGCCTCTGCCAACGGAAACGCCTCACCCTGTAGCCGGGCTGCGGCCAGTTCCCCGCAGGGAGCAGAGGGACCTCGGTGACCGGTTTCTTCCCCTCATCCTGCTCCCTGCGGGGCGTCGGTCGGAGCCGGCCGGCCGTGACTCAGTCTGCCTGGCACGTCCTGCCCCTCGGGCCATTTTGCACACACCTGCTTCGTGAACGTGCCTCTGCCAACGGAAACGCCTCACCCTGTAGCCGGGCTGCGGCCAGTTCCCCGCAGGGAGCAGAGGGACCTGCCTTCTCCATCTGTTTCAGATTAAGTCTCAGCAGAGTGAAGTGACCAGGGTCCTGGATGGGAAGAACATCAAGTACGAGCTGGTGGACATCTCCCAGGACAACGCGCTGCGGGAGGAGATGAGGACCCGCTCCGGCAACCCCAAAGCCATTCCTCCCCAGATCTTCAACGGAGACCACTACTGCGGGGTACGGGGGATGGGCTAGGACCCGCTGACTGAGCGCCCTGAAATCGTCTCCCACGCGGGGGCCCTGGGACGAGGTGCCTGGCCAGTGACGCTTGGTGCGCACGGGAACAGCACCGAGCCCTCTGCGTGCCGCTCCGGCCTGGCGCCTCCCCCAAAGCCCAGGGCGTTGTAGGGCCGTAAGAGGGCCCTCGATTAACCGAGGAGCACAGCGCATAGGGTACTGCTACGCACGATGCACATCCCCAGGAAATGTTTTAGCAGGCTGGCCAGCAGCCCTGGCTTGCCACAAGTCAGGACCTACCCCCGCTGCGGCTCCGCATTTAAAGTGGTGTTAGGAGGTAGGTGGGCAGGCAGCCCGGCTCGCTTCCCGCTCACGCTGGGTCCAGGAGCTCAGACCGCGGTGTTAGGAGGTAGGTGGGCAGGCAGCCCGGCTCGCTTCCCGCTCACGCTGGGTCCAGGAGCTCAGACCGCGCCCTGTATCAGAGGCAGCAGCACAGGGAGTCAGGCAGCTGGGTTTTAAACTGGCGCGTCTGGTGGACCAGCTCCTGCCTGGCACCCCCCGCTGCTGCCTCCAGGCAACGGGGCTGGGACTGTCTTGCTCCCGGCGCTCGTGTTCGTGCCCCTGAGCTGGGTGGGCCAGGCTGCGCCCTGCTCTGAGCTCGGCTTGTTGCCTTTTCTCCCGGCAGGACTATGAGCTGTTCGTGGAGGCTGTGGAACAGAACACCCTGCAGGAGTTCCTCAAGCTAGCCTGACCGCTCCTTTCCCACCCTGGACTTCATGGCTGCATTCCCAACCGAGCTCCCGGCGCTCGTGTTCGTGCCCCTGAGCTGGGTGGGCCAGGCTGCGCCCTGCTCTGAGCTCGGCTTGTTGCCTTTTCTCCCGGCAGGACTATGAGCTGTTCGTGGAGGCTGTGGAACAGAACACCCTGCAGGAGTTCCTCAAGCTAGCCTGACCGCTCCTTTCCCACCCTGGACTTCATGGCTGCATTCCCAACCGACTGGCTGTCCCTGCCATGCCGAGCTAGCTCCTGCCGCAGGGCAGCCCCTGACCAAGCCCTCTGTTCTTTGCAGCTGCCTGCGATTTCTTCCTGCCTCACCCCAGGGCTCCAAAGCGGCCGATACCTCTGCCCAGGCCTGGGAACATAGCCGGGCCTTGCTCCCAATGCCTCCGTAAAGTGAAGTCACCTGAAATGAGGCTGTTGGAAAGCACAGGCCCCTCTCCTGAGCGTCTGGGGCTGTAGCAGGGAAGGGTGTGGCGCTGGGTGCCCCCGCCTGCATTTGGTCACCAGTTCCAGGGCCCTGTAAACACAGCAGCCTGCACTTCCTCTTTCAGGCCGACCAAACAGCTACGGGCAGTTAGTTGTCTACCCTCAATGCAGAAGCACTGCACAAAGATGGGGAACAGAGACCTTCATGGGCCAGTGTGAGGTAGGGCGAGCAACACAACTGAACCCCTTCCGCACACAGCACTCCGCGAGAGAGGCTGGGGGGTGAGGGCATGTCTGCTCCCCCGGTTCCATTAGCACATTCCTGTACTGACATGATGTGAAAGCTCCCCCCGGAGCTCTCAGGGCTGCTCCCAAACGTCTGACGCTCCCACCTTCCTCTTTCCTTTCCGCGCGGCTGTTTGCAACCTGGACCAAGTGCATTTTGTTTTCTTGCCAAAAAGCAACTTTCTGACCACTGTTGTCTTCTGCGATGCTATTAAATGTGACTGGCCTTCCACGCTGGCTCCCGAGTGGGTTTTTAAGGGGCTTAGTCCTTGGGAGGGTAGACTGGGCATCCTACTTACCGATTCCCAGTGACTTCCTGGCTCAGAGCTTAGCTCCTTGTGCTCCCCGCTGCAGCCTGACGCACAGACCTTGGCATCCAGAACGCCAGCACTGGCGTAACAAACTTCCATGAGTGCCTTTCCCAGTCCCCCTCCAAACGCCCGTGGCAGGGAGCACGGCTGGGGGGAAAACGCCTACCTCACTAGGTGAGCCCGGGCTGCGAAAGTTACGTGGGACCCTTCCTAGCTGGGCAAGGTGGCAGGAGTATGCAAGATGGCACCGGGCGAGCTGCAGTGGGGGTTTGGCTGTGGGATGAGCTGACGCCATCCTTCTGCCTTTTCCCTGCCTGGCGCTTTACTAAGCACCCCATGGGAAGTGGCTAGAGGAGGCCGTGCAGAGCTAACTAACCGCACAGGGAGCAGGGGAAAGGGGAAGTTGCTGGAGGCTTGCAGCAGTGCACAGAGGGAAAGGCGCCTGGCCCCTCCCCCCAGCAACCAGCTGCTGCTTCGTCCTGGCCCAGCAGAAAGAGCGGTGAACGGTGCAGGCAGCTTTCAGGGACGGGTGGGAGATTGAGAGCCTGTGAGCCAGTCCCAGAGACTCTGCCCTTTAACGCTGGGGCCCGGCCTTCCCCCAGGGGCCTGTGCACACCAGTCCCAGGTGGTCCCCGGGAGCCCTGCTCCGCGCTGGAACCGCTGTGCCCGGCGGAGAAGTGACTCAAGGCGCAGGGCCCCGGCGCGGGCTCGCAGGGGGGGAGCGTGCTGCGGGAAAGCAGCTGGCGCTTGTTTCCTTGCAGCAGGGCGGAGGAGGGTGGGGAAGGCAGAACAAGGAACTCAGGCTGCTGCAGTGGCTCAGCTGCAAATGATTCCAAGGTGGGTTCCACGCAGTCAGGTTTAGCCCCATGGACTTTAATAGTGAGCCTGTTTGCACACAGTGCGAGATGTGACTCCAGCCCCAGCACGGGGAGCCCAGGCCTGTGGGAATGGGACCGGCACCCAGCCGGGCTGGGCCTTGCCTGTAAACTCTCTCCTCTAAGGCTCTGTCTGTGCTGCGATAAAAGCCCCAGGGCTGGACCCCAAGGCTGGGCCAGCCCTGCCGCAGGCTCCTGGGCTAGAGTCTGCTTGGAAAGCCCACAAAGGGGGGCGGGTCTCAGGACCCAGGCTCCAGCGTGATCATGATCAGCTCTGCTCCCCCTGATGTGGGCGTGGAGCTTGGTGCCAGGGTTTGCAGGGGAGGGCACAGGTACTGCCCTGCCCAACTCGCTGCAGCCTCGGCCCAAGCGGAGAGAAACCCAGCCGGGTGTAAGGCCCTGGGCTGGCATTTACACAGGCTGGCTGCTCCCCGCGGAGGCCTCTCAAGGCGGCCCCCAGGGGCAAGGGGAGACAGGCCTGGCGAGTCCTCTCAGTGCTAGTGGAGGGAGGGCCCCCTGGAGCTGGTTCTCCCTTGGCTCTGCCTGCAGGGGGTGGCAGGCCAGGTAACACAGCCCCCACCCTCCTTCCCTCTCAGTAAGGGCGAGGCTGCACCCCCCGGCCTGTGCACAGCGCCCCTGATGAAAGGAAAGCAAACTGCTTGGTGTGTGGGGCCCAGGAGCTCAGCTGAGGCTTTTCGCGCAGCAGAAGGGAGGCGTTGGGAACCAGCCCACACTGCTGCAGGGTCCTGGAGCTGTCCGCATACACCCGCTGCGGAAAGGTGCTGAGGATCTCGTACGGCCGGATGTCTCCACCCCTAGGAAGAGCAGGACATGTGGGCCGGGTTCCACAGCGAAGCTGCAAATAAGCCAGCGGCAGCAGGATGGAGCACTTGGGAGGGCCGGGGCTGGAG